ATTCCCACCTTCCGGGAAGGGTGGGGGAAGCAGTCGGCAAACACGAAGCAGAGAGCCGGGAGCAGGCGTTTCCTCTCCCTGATTCCGGGAAGCGGGCCTTTCAGAGGCTGTGAACAGGGTCATATCCGGACGTCAGCTCCCCCAGCGAGAAGCCCGTGGAGAGCTCGTGGCCCACTGCTCCCTCTGTGACCCCCAGCAAGCACCTGCTAGTGAGGTAGCGTCTGTGGTCAGTGTGGTGTCCTTCCTGTCACGTGAAGGCAGGGACTGCAGAGCTGAGATAGCTGCAGTCTCGCTTTGGCCCTCTGGGCCCTGCCAGCTGGCCTGCCCCCCGCTCCCTGCCCCCCGCCCCCATGACCTGGGACCTCCCTGTCCTCCTGCAGGCGCTGCGCCCGGTGGCCGAAGGTCACAGGCCTGTTTGTCTCCGTGGAGTCCCCCCCCCCGCTGCTGCCAGGCGGGCGGCATGCTGGGGACACTGGCGGGCACAGCCTGGGGCCTGGGCTGGCTGCGGGCTGATTCTCCTCCTTCCCTGAGAGGGGGCATGGGAGGGTGGGAGCTGGGAGGAGGGCCGTCCTCTGGGGGCTCTGTCACACACAGGAGCCCGATAGCCTGGCTTTGCTCCGCAGAAGCGTGAGCTCGCCAGAGCAGGCCGGCGCCGGACGGGAGGCCAAGCCCAGCCCCAGTGTGTCCTGAGAGGCTGGGTGTGGGGTGTGCACCTGTCATCCCAGCTGCAGGGGAGGCTGAGGCAGGAGGATCACAGCACAGAGCTACACAACACACACCACACACGTGTGCACACACTGCACATCTATATGCACATGAACACCATACACATATATACACACCACACACGAACACATGCCCATCACACACATGAGCACCCAGATGTACACATGCACTCATGCCACACGTGTACACGAACACAAATACACCACGTGCACCTCTCACATAGAGGGGAGGGGAGGCCATCCGGCCTAGCCCGAGTGGCAGACGTGGAGCTAGTCCTCACTGGGCAGAACACCTATCAGGCCCGCCGAGTGGCTGAGCGCACCGTCCCCGAGCAGTTGTACCCTGAGTGGCTGGGGCCGCCACTG